GATGGGGGCTCCAGCCATGCCCTGGGCAATCTTTTGGGTGAAGAAATATTCCCTAAATGTCCATCCTGACCCTCTCTGGTGCAATGTGAGGCTGTCCCCTCCTGTCAGGAGCTGTGCAGAGCCAGAAGGGCCCCTGAGCCTCCTTTGCTCCAGGCTGAGCCCCTTTGGATGTCCTCTCCTTTCTGAAGGTGGAGAATTACTGTTCCCTATCAAGTTTGGACTTTGTTCTCTCCTGACTCCTCCTCATCTTTCCCAAGCAGCTTTTATTCAGGGAGTGGTGCCAGGTCTTCCCTTGCTGCCCAGGTTTCCTGCCATGGGAAAAGCCCAAATTCCCTATTTTGAATCAAATCAAGAACACAGAACCCAAGGAGTGACACACCAAAGTTGCCCAGGGTGTGGAGTTGCTGTGAGGGTCTGTTGAGGTTTTTTTTTTTTCCTTCAGCTGGAACTGGAATGAAAATCCTGGTCCCCCATCCCCTAGAAACTATTCCAAGCCAAGAAATTTTCAATTTACATCTTTCAACAAAGTCCCAGTTCTCAGATTGAATCCCACCTACACGTGGGCAGGTACTGCCCACTTCAGCACCAAATTTTTTTTCTCTCCACAGCTTATGTAAGAGCACCTTGACTCACACAAGCCCTGGTGTGAGCTTCCCAGCAGAGAAACACGTGCCAGGGTTTTTTGGGAATCTGGCAGCTGTGCCCTCCCAGCCATTCCCAGGCTTTCCCCACGCTCCAGCCTGGTTCTACAGGTGGGGTGGGATCTCAAAACCCGAGCAGGGCTGATTGAGACATCAGGAATGAAAGGTTTCTGGGGCTGTGACACCTCTGCTCAGTGCTGCACCTCACCAGCACAGCTCTGGGAAGCTTTGAAGCATTCAGGCTGGTGATGTAATTCTCCTAAAAGCCTTTGTTTTGCTATTTCTGCTCCCTTATAAGCTGAATTTCCAGTGGGTGCCAAGCAGAGACTTTTATCTCTGCCTTTATTTAGTGTACAAGAAAAAACCCAAGCAGATGGAGTTTGGGGGCTGAACAGCTTCTCACAAGTCTCTGATCTCTATCAATACCTGAATGCTGAGCCTTTTCAGTAGAAAAGCCAAAAAAGCCAAGAATAAATTGGGAAGGCAAAGCATAAAAAGCATCAAAAGGCTCATTTGTGGTCCATGGGAGGGGGTGGAACGAGATCAGCTTTAAGGTCCCTCCCAATCCAAACCATTCTGGGGCTCTTTCCTAACCTGCAGCACAGGGAAGGAGGAATAAATCCACTGGCAGGGATTTCACACCCTGCCCTGCCTGTGGGACTGGAAGCCAAAGGTTGGTAACCCCAAATTCCAGCACCTAAAGCCTCAACAGAGCACCCCAAGCTTCGTGGGGACCCAACTGTGGCTCCTCCAGGGCCTGAAGGGGCCAAGAGGAAACACGGAGAGAAACTTTGGACAAGGGATGGAGGGACAGGACACAGGGAATGGCTTCCACTGCCAGCAGGTGGGATTTTGGGAAGGAATTCCTCCTCCCTGCGATGGTGGGGAGGGCTGAGATGGAATTCCCAGAGCAGCTGGGGCTGCCCCTGGATCCCTGGCAGGATCCCTGGAGCAGCCTGGGACAGTGGAAGGTGTCACTGCCCATGGCAGGGCTGGCACTGGGTGGGATTTAAGGTCCTTCCCAAGCCAAACCATTCTGGAATTCCCACTTTTCAGTCATGATTAGGCTCCAGCACTACCTGTGGTTGCCCTGAAAAGCAGAAGCAACAACAGGAAAACCACAACACAGCTCCCAAGCAGCAACCACTGCAATTCCATCTCATTTTGTCCCTGTGAATTATTGTGTTTTTAAACCAGCTCTTGAAATTCAGCTTTTTATGTGTGTCAGGATGAGCTGGAGCCTTTACAGACTGCTCTGGGCTGAGTTGCAGCACTTGGGAACCACATTTAATCTGCTCACATGCAACTGCTGTAAGTCATCAGCTCGGGCTGTACATCTGGCAGCCACAGGCACACATAAAACCTGCACACAAATTACACACAGCTGTAAAACCAAGGCCAAGCAGACTCTGAAACTATTCACAGCTTGGATGCAATCACTGCCAAATAGCAGAGAATGGAAGAACAGCAGGAGAGCAACGTTTCAAATGGAACAGAGAGTCCAAGCTGCAGACACACACACAAAAGAAACCCATCTCTTTAGTCCCATCATTTCACTTCTTTCCCCATAAAAAGGCTCTTCTGGTGTGCAGGACAGTGGCTGGAGGTACGAGGCTGAGCAGGGGGGTGCAAACACCCCCAGCCCCATTCCCAGCACTCCTTACTGGGCCACTGTGGGAATCCAGAGTTTCCCCCTGGCTGCCCCGGGACCCTGGCAGGGGTCAGGAACCCCCCTGGACAGAGCCCCAGAGACACTGGCTGTGATCTCTGCCCATGGAAAAGAGTTTTCAATCTTACAGGATGAATTACAGGCTCTGAGTGTTTGATATCAGTAATAATTAAGTGTGGCAC